TAGTAGTAGTAGTCGTCGTGGTGGTGCTAGTAGTAGTAGTAGTAGTAGTAGTAGTAGTAAGAAGAAGAAGAATAGACAAGAGTACACCTAGTAATCTAAATGCTCATAATAATGGTAGTTCCAATGGCAATGGTAATGGTAATAGTAGTAGTACAAGCAATAGAAAAAGCTGCCTCGTCTAATAATCATATCATACCTTTCAATAGCAAAGCCGACAATAATTTGCGATTTCGCCGCATGCCAGGCTGCCAAGCTCGCAAAGCTCTCACAAGAAGTGGATGCGTTGCGTGCAGAAAACTCCATTCTCCGTCAGTCCGTGCTTGAAGCCGACCCAGAGGTGTCTGCCGCTGGGCGGCACTGATTACGATATCAGCGCAGACTGATTGTAGCGCCGTCGTAGCATGCATAGGGGCTGTTTTTCTGTCGTCACGTGCCAACCCGATCGAAAGATGCGGAGGATGGGGATGGCGACGAAGACCTGCACACTTTGCGCAGAGAACGAGACCAGTATCGGGAGCAGGTCCTGGCAATGACAAAGTTCTTGCATGACTACGGCCGCTCGGATTCGTTGTAACAAAGGGGTTCCCGAGTCTTTAAGAGGGCGACTATAAGGGCTACGGCTACTGCAAGCACTACCATAACCGTCGGGAGAATGCAAGCAGTATCCCTTGTAGTCCCCAACATACGTATACTACAGCAACACCCGAAACCCTATTCTACGTAAAAAGGCTCTTTACAAGAGTAGATACTCGGCAGTACATCATCACAGCGCCCAACCGTTGTCTTGAAGGGTGGCTGCTCCCAATGCCGAGCGGCCAACCATTTGCGAGCCTAGCCTATCCACCAGGCCTGACGTGGGTGGGCGACAAAGAGCAGGAAGAGGAGCCGATAAAACGTATGATATATTACATTATGCATTGTATATCCTACATCATATACTATGTGGCCCATGTTCTGTTTTATAAATTGTAAATCACATAATTATTCTATAGTATATACCATATATTCTACAGTGTATAGCATGTTGTACGTAGTATATACAGCAGAAAGTATCTATTATATATATATATATGTATGTACCTTTCATTGTATAATGTATTTTACACATGTTACGTATTATGTATCATATAAGCTTTTTATTATAAACCATATGCTATATGTGACCAGTCTTTTGAGCCCCAAGAAGCAGGGCATCACGCTTCTTGAATGTTGACACCCCGAATCTCTCGACCCTTTACATCCTTGCACCCTGAGCCCTGTGCAGACCCCGAAGCCCTCAAGCCTTAAACCTTTGCTTTACTTTGTTTGACGACGCTTACACCCTATACCTTAGACCCTCTGGCCTAAATCCTGGCCCTAAACCTCCTGAGCCCTTGTGCTACCCAAAAGCACAGACCCTTCGTGACCCCAAGCCCAAACCCTACCTGAAATCGTCAACCTTTGCCTAGCAAACCAAACCCAAAACCTTACGACCTGACCGGAGGAAACTGCCCAGCTCAACGAATCCCTGGCGGAGAAGCTCAGCCGACCGACCTCGGCGCAGGTGGACGTGCAGGCCACGGTTTGGGGTTCAGGGTGATTTAGCGTTATTTGGGGCTTCAGTGCTTCCGCGGGGGGGGGGAATGCGTTCAGGGCTTTGGCTTCGTTTTTTGGGCTTAGGGTTTCCGGATTCAGGACTTGTTGCCCCAGCAGGGGCTTTCGCAGCTTCGATGTTTCACAGCTCCCATCCTTTGTGCACCTGCATTTCTCCACAAGCCTGGGCGCATCCCAAGTCTTTGACACAGGGGAACGGGGGGGCGGGGGGGGCGGGGGGGGGTTACTGAAGGAGGGATATTGGCTTGTGCTGCTCTAGCCCCAAAGCCGAAGCCCCAACTACTAAGTTCTAACTCTCCAAACCACACCCTGCACCGCCGTAAGCTATATGAACGCCAAACCGCAAGCCCAAAACCTCCTACTCTAGTCTACTATATAGGAACTACAACGGGATGTTAATACAAAAGCGTCCTAAGCCCTGAACCCTAAGCCTCTTACGTCGATGGTGTACTGAGTGCAGACAGGGTGTCTGACAAGTCTCAATCTGAAACAGATGTTCCTTAAAGCTCTTGTGGGCCGACGGAAACAGGCGTTCAACAAAAACTCTAGACCCTAAACCCTAAAGGCCCTAAAGCCTAAATGCCAGGTCATGTGCGCGCGGGTCGAGGAGTTGAATGCCTTGGTCCGGCAGGCTCGGCCCTAAGCCACGATCCTGATTCAGGTGGATCTAAGATTTTTTGGGTTTAGCGTTTATTAGGATTTAGGACTTGGGTTCGGAGGGCTTTTGTAAGGTTTTCATAAGAGCCTCATGGCCGCCCAAGCAGGGCCGAGGGCGGCTCGTACTGATTGGTCGCAATTATTTGTTGCTCCTCTTTTGTGCGCTGTCTACGAAGTCCATCAATCCTGCAAGAGCTCCCTGACTCCTACACCTGAATGTGCAAACTGGAGCGACGCCCCCCGCTAGGAGGGCGCCAAAGTCGTGTCCAATCGCGTTGGGGGCGCCATCCACGTGCCTCGTCTGAGAGTTTGCAGTCTGGGATTTCAGGAAGGGGGCCAGTTAATTCTGGAATGTTCTGGGACGCATATAGGATAATATGGGGTTTGGGTTTGAGGCGGTACGCATCAGGGTTTGGGCAATCAGAGGCTCCAAGGCCAGGGCTGGGGGTTGAGTTCATCAACTCTGAGGTCGAGAGCCCGAGGCTTTCACGTAGCATGTCGAACCCTGCGATGTTTTGTGGGCTCCAGGCTTCAGAGTGTAGTTGGGTCTGCGCATGCAGGGCGCTTCAGAACCGTGAGCCCAGTGTCGACCCCAAGTAAAGTAGTGTAAAAGGACGCCCTATGCATCACGGTGCCATGGACCTTGGCTTCATGAATGGCATGGTGCAATGCCTCAAATGGGCCTAACTAAACCATGAGTCTTTGGGTGATTTTTCTTTTGGAGTGGGACTTCTGCAATAAGCTCGTATTCGGGTCCTTTTTTACCTGAACTTCTCGGTAGGACGAATAGCTTCATATTCACAAGCCCTGCACTGCAGTGAGTAATGCCATCAGATTGCTTCCCAAGAAACCCCGCTCCAATCAGAGTACTTAAACCCCGAACAAACTTTTTGTACTCCCCAGAAATCCCAAAATCCGTGTTCAGCTGAATCCTTCGGCTACTCCCCCCAAAAAAGATGGCATTTCGGGTTTAGGGTTCAGGGGTTTCGATAGGTTTACCCATCCTGTAAGGCACGACTGGCCACCGACCAAGCTCCTTTGCCTTTGAGCTTCTTCCAGGCGAGCATCGCTCGCCAAAATTAGCTAGATTCGCGTTTCGAGCTTGGCCGGAAACTGCTTCGGTTTGGGGTTTAGGGCATGTCCAGGGCCTAGGGCTTAGGATTAAGGTTGATGCCTTGTCCCTGTTGAGGCAAAGGGCAATTGGTAGGGAAAGGCTCTGAAAAGGGACACGTGTTCATGGATGCTATCTTCGTGATACCTCAGACTCAGACCCTGGCGCTTTGTTGTACACGAACACCGGACGAGTTGAGTGTATACATCGGTATATGGATGTGGGAATAGGTATTATAGAATTTGATGTAGGCATAGATGTCCTGCAATAGATATAGCTATAGAGATGCTAGCACCGCAGCAGCAAAAAGAGCATTGGCATCAGGATCAGGTTCAGTGCTCCATTTCAGTCACAAGATGGAACGGGAGGACCGGAATGTTTTTAATTGCACGTCCCTCTCTACAGCTGGGAGTCTTCAATGAAGCACATGGCCGGACCCCAGACTACTATCACCTTAAACATCGATGAAGCAACCACCTTTCCGGGTGCCAATCCCTCGAACCCATCTCTGCCGGAAGTGGTGTTTAGTCTTTTCCCGGGCGCTGGTTCGTGGACTTCACGGCTCAACGTTCACTGCTGCATCAGGACGGCGTTAAGCTCGGACGCTGCAATTTCCAACCCTTCGGCAGCCGTGCTGCCCAGCAACTTCTTCAGGCCACACCCTTTTCTGCAATGGTTTAATGTAGAGAGTGGTGTTGGCACTCGAACAAGAGGTTTGACTATTGTTTCCTGCATGTGGGGTTGAGTAACTAGTCAAACCATGGCCATGGTTCAGGTGTTGCAGCTCGAAGATAAACGAGAAATCAAATGTTAGTAATTAGTCAGTATGTTGTAGTGTACATCGGGTTTGGGCATCAGTTGGATTTGGCACCTAGAAGTTCTTCGGATTTAGGAACGCCTTCAGAAACGAGCCTCGGATAAGCTCACGGCATCTGTGTGCGGAGATCACATGAACGATCTTGAAACAGGACTCCCTTTGGCCACATTCCTCGCTTTTTGGATTGTGGCACGTGCGAATCCTGAACTAGACCCGCAGCCCCTAAACCCCTAAACCCCTAAACCCCTAAACCCTAAACCTAAACCCCTAAACCCCAAACCCCTAAACCCCTAAACCCCAAGACCCCTAAAGATGTCAGGACATCTTGGATGGCCGGAGGCTGAGGGCCTGCAAGCTTGCAGGGCAGGGCCCGACAGCAGGTTTTACTCTCTTCTCATGTCGAAAAAGTGCCCCCGATACGTTTTTGTTCTACCCGTCTTGTTTGGGGAACAATCTAAAAAATACTGCAGGGGATTTTTTCGTCAGAATACATATGAAACAGCCATAGCCTAACGACCCTACGCTGTTCTTAACCAAAGGCTACTTCCCCTACGAGCTGAAAGAGGAGTACCCCGACGGTGTCATGCTCAAGGCACTGGGTCTTCGGGCCTTAGCGTGCTTGTAAGACAAGGGGCCTGAGTGATTTCGGGTTTAGGGGTTTAGGGTTTTGGGGATCCACTATGCGACTATACTACAAGTATACTAAGGATCCCTAAGGGGAGAGATTGCACTATCATTACGACAAGGATCCTTGCGGCCCCACAGAATACGATTAGTAACGTTTCGGGGCTCTACATTAAGGTTTGAAGAGATTTGTCGAGGCTTAGGGTTTATAACTACTAAGCCGGCAAGGTGGGCCCACACATTTACCCTGGATGAGAAGTGGAGTCGCTTGCATGGTGGAAGCATCCCAAGCAACCCCAAGAGCCAAGTTGTGGTACCGTACTTCAGACTACACTAATTAGGGATCCTACGTCAACTTATGAGGAAGCTTCCTTGCATAAAGAAGGCCTTTCTCCAACTCCCAGATTTCCAGATCTGAAGAACCTGGCAAAACAGGCTTGGTTTGAACACTTGAAAAATCATGCACTGGTGCTTGCCCTCTCATTCACCTGAGAAATCCGCCATTGCAGACCTGGCTGGCTTTCCCAGCTGTTCCCAGAGAGCCCAATACCCCTTAATTAAGGAACATACCTTAAATTATAGGGACCTTACTATTATGATTTAAGGTATATTCCTTAATTAGGGGGTATTGGACTCTCTGGGTTCGTCATAAGCCCAGCAACCTTCTTCGAGCAAGGTGGTTGATCGAGTGGCCGTGACTTTCGCAGTGTGGCAGAAGGCACGGCCACGCAAGACTTTGGGGTCAGGATCTCTCCTCGTGTGCACAGATCCCAATATAGTCAGGGAAGCATAGGAAATACCAAGAGCTTCCCCTTCACATCCTTGCCAGCTTTCGCTTCACCTTTCTGCCAGTGTGATTCGTAAAGCCTTCAGCAGATTCTGAGCCTTGGCCGCACATCCTCGCGTAACACCTTAGGCCGGTTTAGGGGAACCGGGTGGATGACCCGCACGGACATCTTAGTTTGCAGGAGAACAGATGCCTCTATTATCAGAAGATGTCTCAGATTTCGTTCAGCAATTGAAACAGTAGTGTAAGTAGATGCATCGATTTCTTTTTCTGCTTTCCTGGTCCCTTGCTCATTCGGCTTCAGGAGTATGCCAGCGCCGATCCCGCCCCTGGCCTACTTTTCCGACTCGCCTTGCCGAGCGGGCTCAGGTTTCAGTTCTGTTTTTTAAAGCATGTATTCTCAGGTTCTTATTGCTGGTCCTAAAGCTTACTTCAATACACTACAAGATGATATCGTACGTATAAAAATAGCACAAACAGCATAATGAAATAATACGACAGTATCTACAACATAATTTAAGATCCGATCCAGCACCCGGAGGCATCCTGAGGCCTTCGAAGATCCATCCAACTTTCCGTTGGCCTCCGAACCCAGAGAGCCCAATACCCCTTAATTAAGGAATATGCCTTAAATCATAATATGAAGGTCCCTAGAATTTAAGGTATGTTCCTTAGTTAAACGGTATTGGGCTCTCTGGGAAGCTCAGGACCTCGATGCGCGTGGAGATCGCTTGGCCATGGGCGGCCGGGCTTAGTTCTCAGCTTGTCGTTCTCTGAGCACTGCCCTTGTGGCTGTGTTGTTGCCTGGAGACCCTTTCTTGCGAGCTCGAAACACTCGAATCTAATTCGCAACAGTCGCTGGACTTTGGAGATCCGAGAACCCCAAACCCCAAAACCCCAAAACCCTAAACCCTAAACTTCTTAAACCCTAAACCCCAAAACCCTACACCCCAAAACCCCAAAACCCTAAACCCTAAACCCTAAGCAGCAAGCACTACGCCGTCTATCCAGTACGGAGGATCCCGCGGGAAATGGAACTGGGAGCTGGTTCTCTGCAGCGACAAAGTTGTGCGTCGAGGGTGTAATCTAGGGGCCGTTAACAATTGCCTATACATTTCTTCGGGGTTCCTTAGTATAGTTATGGTATAATGTACCCCAAAACCCTATTCTAATGATTAAGGCTTGTACATTATGTAAGGCTTCTAGCGTTGTAGTTCGGGGTGTTGGATTGACTGTCATGAGAGTATAAAGGTTGATGGTTGTTGTGCAGTCACAAAACTAAAATCAGTTTGATGCGCACATGCATAATGCGACTTGAGGTCCTAAATGCCCCGACCGTGACTTCTTCGGAGAAGGCCTGCATCAGTTGTTCAAGAAATTACATGGCATACATTTTTTGTATAGAGACATGGAGAGGCTGAATACACACTGGTTCGGTAGTCTGTGCTCGATGCGAGGTGTTGCGTGCCGGACAGATTTGCGAGGCTCGTCTTTGCAAGCTTCTGCTTGGACCCGCGCAGTTGAAGGTGGGGAACGATGGCCTGCAGGGTAGAGTTGGACTGACGTGGCTAGTTGTTGAGTGCTTGAACGGCTTTTCTGTTGAACTTGCTGGCACGCTCATGGCTCAGCAGCGACATGCAACAGACCACCACATATGGCAATGATGCAATGACGCCTGTGACAGCCTTTATCCGCTTAGAAATAGGGAGTGGAGCTATTTCTGCGCAAGTCTAGTTCCGCAAAGTCTCAAAAAGAGTCAGCACGACCTCTGACACTCTTACGCAACAAGACTCGAATATTTTTCGATCGTTTGGCGAAACTGCAGTCGTCAGACCCGTCACGAATACCCTAGTGCGGACAAATCAGCTTTGCACCTCACGAGCTGTCTGGTCTTGTGGCGCGATGAGCAATGAGGTGGGGGCAGAGCTAAACCGTGCTGCAAGTGTGGGCTATCAGGGCTTGTCGAATCGAATTGCGAGCTTGTGAGGTTGTAAGGCACGCCCCTAAACCCTAGACCCTAGTTAAACCCACCGATCATCGGAGCCGAACTGCAGCATGAGAGTTCAGGAGGTTGTTGCGCGCCCTGCTGGTGGCGCATGTCCTATTGGGCGATGTCTCCAAGGCAGATGGCGAGGCCCTGTCTGCAATCGCTTATCTGGGTTCTAGTTAAGGAGTTTAATCTTAAGGTACCATATCATAGGGGTCTATGGTAAATAGTATGGTATCCGTAGTATGACCCTTAACAAGAACCCAGTTATTGTAGTATCTATTGAGCTGGTGGCACTGTGATTGCAGAAGCCGAGGCCGCAGAGGAAGGCTGTCAACATAAGTAGGACGGGCTGCCAGGAACTATCAAACCTTCGATGCCTTAACCGCCTCAGCCTAACAAAATTCTGGCTCATGTCTTCGCCCCAGGAAGAGAAGGACACCTCCTCAGACGTTATGGAAGTCATGGCCGGGCCCTTGTCTTCTCGGAGGTGTGGTGTCACCTTTGGCATCACGATGAGGACTCTGACATTTATGTTTCTCATGATGATGGCGACAATGACGATGTGCTGACGATCAACATCATCATCATCATCATAGTCATGTTCACCCCCATCCTCATCCCTACACTCTAAACTTTGCATCCTAAACCCCAAACCGTTCATCACGCTCCTCGGAAGGGGGTAGCAATACTTCTTGCCGCCTGTGGCGGTGACCTCAACACCGCTCCAAAGCCCTCCCCCGTAGGCCGAAAATGCTAGAGTTTTAAGGTGTCAGGGTTCAGGGTTTCGGGTTTCAGGGTTTCAGGGTTCAGGGTTTAGGGTTTAGGGTCTCAGGCCGAAAGAACTCGTAACATCAAAACAGGCCCTGAGCCCTTGGAAGCCCCCGAGGCCTGGTGCAAAGGTGTCTTGCAAGGCCTGGACTGGCCAGCGGTGCGAACCCTCAGATATACATACACACACACACACATACACATACACATACACACACACATACACACTGACACATGTGTGTCTATATAGACTTACAGACATAATATGTATATTTATAATGCATGAATCATGTGCATATCTATGTATATGTATATGTATATATACATATACACACACAGGCATGTGTACAGTTGTCTACACATACTAGTAATTATTTGGATAGTGGAACAGAATCGAATAGAAGATAAGCGAATAGAACATCTTGTAATCTAAGCAATCTAAAGTGGCTTAAGCTTACCAACTCTTGTGCCATCTCGTGTCGTCTCATCGAGCCTTATCTAAGATCAGGTTTTCATCAGGATTTTACTCGAGTTGTGCAAGGTGTTGTGGGGCGGTGTTATACGGGGCTTTTACTGGGGGTGTTCGAGTTTCGTTCTTGAGTCGTTGTGGCAAGCAAAACCCACAAACACAGAACCAAAACTAGAAACCACAAGCCCCTAAATCCAAACCCTAAACCTAAACACTAAAGCCCCAAACCCCAGAACCTAAAGCCTAACACAAAACCCCAAACTGTCAACTGCTACCCCTCAAATTCGACAGTCCGAGACCGAATGTCCATCAACTCCCGAAGACTGAAGAAGCCCCAGATCCTCAAACCCAAAGTTTGTGTCCGAAGTGCTGCAAGGCCAAAATCTCATAGGATTTGGGGATTCTGCAGTGAATATAGAGGCCGTAATAATAGCTAGAATAGGGCTTTGGTGTAAATTTTATCTAGTATATATATATATACACATAATATGTAAGTAGTTATAATATCAACAATAATAAGAATAATAATAGTAGTAATAATGATGATAATAACAATAATAAGGAACTCCAAATTTGGGGTAGCGGTTTTCAGATTGGTCGGACTCCTCGCCTTGGGAGCCGTGGCTTGAGGTTCTTCGCCTGGCCAAGACGGAGTGCAACTTAGACGTGCGACACTCGGATTCGGATGGTTCTGTTTGGTGGCCGAGGGGGGGTTGGGAGGGGTTTGGGGATCCGTTGTTGGGTGCATGGCTTTGGAGCCGTAGGAGGTTGTCATGGGGGGTTGAAGGTTTACCGGGCCTGTATGTGTCGAACTCCATGCCTCCTCGAACCTCTAAGACTGACTCTAGAGAAGTGCTAAACCCTAAACCCTAAACCCTAAACCTTAAACCCTAAACCCTAAACCCCGAACCCTATGTAGAAAGCGCTTTTCTCGCTGTCTCGCTCCGCAGGGCCCTAAACCCTAAAGCCCACAGTCGAACGCGCGCAGCTTCTCTCGCAAGGCCGGAGATGACGACCTGCTTCGCATCGGTGCCGGACCAAGCTGGATTTCCGGGAGCTTCTGGGGCCCTAAGATACTATATAGTACATTATAGTAGACTGTAGTACATTATAGTATACTATAGTATAGTATAGTACAGTATACTCTAGTATAATATGTAGTGTATTATAGAATGTGATGGTACATGAATGTGTATTATAGCCCTTAAAAGCTGAAACCCTAAACCGGTAAGCCCTGGTAAAGATGACGAGGGCCTGAACTAGATCGCAGCTCCTAAACCCTAAACCCTAAACCCTATAAACCCTAATAAACCCTAAAAAACCCTATAAACCCTATAAGCCCTATAAACCCTATAAACCCTAAACCCTAAACTGAGGCTGCACGGAGATGGGTCTCATCTCCGCGGTCGATGGTCTCCGGGCAGTACTCGAGATCTCCCAGCTGCAGAAGTTGGCACGGGCCTGAGGTTTCGGCTTTCGGGGTTCACGCCATTCGATAATACACTATATTATACTGGAGTATACTGTAATATACTTTACTTTAGTATACTATAACGTACTCCAGAAAACTAAATTTTAATAGTGCTTAAGCCCTAGGGCCCGGCTGTAGCTGACAGAGCTTCTGCCGCGGACGGGATTCGTCGTGACGTTGAGTTTGGCTGGCTTCAGCTGCGGAATGCATCCGAGTTGTGTCTGCACCATTGGGCTGACATGTCGGACATGCGAAATCAGGGTTTAGTTTTTGGCGCCTTGGTTCAGCTAGCCTTATAACCCCAGTTTTTCATCGGAGAAATCGTCCTACTTTCAGCCGCACCTTCTGGGCTTCACTGTCTACGAAAGTTATGAAAGCCAGTTTGTGGCTGTAGTGAAACTGGTAACTCCCTTTCAAACGACGATGGTATCAACCACCACATCTAGAGCAACATCGAAGGATCGAGGCCATCATGATGGTATTTTCGAAACCCTGAGAATTGGCATAGGGTTCTAAGGTCATTCTAGTAGACCTAGAATAAGGCTTCCAAAGGAATAATGATGGTAATGCGCCGGGTATAGCAAGCTTTGCAAAACTGCAGCACTCTTCGTGCTGCCGTCTGGCATTTATGGCAATGAGTGACTTCTCAGAGACAAGGCCCTAAACCCTAAGCCCTAAAGGCCCCTTAAAGTCTGGATTCGCGCGAGGTCTGTCCGAACGGCCAGGTATTTCTTCTCGCGGTGGCAGCCTCAGAACATGCGAAGCTTGAAGGCAAAGCTGCATTCGGCGACGCCGTCGCTGCACGCTCGTGATAGGAATCATGCATGACACTGTCCAGGTGCAATCCGATTCTGCAGTTCCTAATCGGAGTTGCTCCATCGCACAAGAAGTCTTGTGCCAGCTTGCAGGACTAAGGGAAGACCCCCGAAAACCCTTCACCCTGATGCCACAAGGAGGGGCACCTGGCCTCTTTGTGCTCTCAGGTTTCCTTAGCCTACGCCCGGGGGCAGCTGACGCCGACAGAAGTGGCGAGAGCACAGGCGTCGGAGAGCTCTGAATGCCTGCAACAGGTATCCTAAACATAAACTGTATCGCGACATGTAGAGTCCGGCAGATCATCTTACCGCAAGCCCTAAAACCTAAACCCTAAGCCCGCATCTTACATCCGGGTCAGGGGGGGCATCTTTCAAGCGAGGGAGGCCTCTTGCATTCTGGGCGTGGTCGTGATTTGTGTTAGGGTTTAGGGTTTAGGGCCCAGCCTCGGATGATCTCGTGAACGTAGGTTCAGGTGGTTGGGGCGACGCAGGATGCACGGCGACACTAGGTTGAACTTCCCCTGCCTTTTACAGAACCAAGATAGAGGTAACCCGTCTGCCAGGTCCTTCTTTGGAACGCCTTGCAGACCAACTTCATGCTGGATGCGAGCGTGCGCCAGTCACGCGATTTCCTGCTCCGTTGTCATGCAGAGCTTGGCTTTCCTTGCCGTGTGAGCAGATGACAGGTGTGGCCGGTCAAGACCCACGACGTGCCTTGGACAGAGCACCGATGGTCACGGTGGTGAATTGATCCTTGTCCGACTTCCTCAGCTGTGGTTCTATAGATGTAGCCGCTGCGCAGCTCCTCAGCTGAGGAGCCAACCAACCATAAAAGCCATGAGTCACACCTTCAGCTGCAGGCCCGGTAAACATCCGCAGTGGACCCGAAAGCCCCAGGTGCTGTACATGTTCGACCAGCTGCCCCCGCCGCTGCGGCTGTCGGGTTGGAGTCCCAAAAGGGAGCAATCCGAAATCCCGAATATTATATCATAATGTAGTAGAATATATTATAATTATAATTATATTATATTATATTATATTATATTATATTATATTATATTATATTAAATTATATTATATTATATTATATATTATATATTTTATATTTTATATTTTATATTTTATATTTTATATTTTATATTTTATATATTATATTTTATATATTATATATTATATTTTATATATTATATATTATATATTATATTATATATATTATATATTATATATCATATAATATATATAATATATATAATATATAACCTCGCTCATATATCACTCATTTCGTTCATTTGGGGCATTGTGTCCCACGTGTTGCAGACATCCCAATCCAGCCCGGAGGTTCGCAGCCCGTTGGCATCCCCAGACTTGGTGCGTTCAAGAAAAGGGAGTGCCAGAATGGCTGTGGAATGACATTAGGGCGATCGGGAAACACAAGGAGAGTGGGAATGCCTAAAAGCCAGAGTCGCAGAGCGAGTCTGATCAGGTCGCCAGCGAGGACGGCCTCCTCGAGGCGGAAAAGCAATGTCTTTTGACTGACAGGCGGGTGGGGGCAGTCCAGCCCGGCAAATCCACAATGGAAATGGGGAATACAGTATCCTCATAAGGCCCACCGAAAAAGCACGGCTCTTGGCCTTGTCGGATGGCATCCAAACACTCCTGGTGTGAGAAGACAATGGAGGAGATCCCAATGGCTTCAACATGTTTGGTCCGAGGAGTTGGGCCAATGAAGACACGTGTGCAGTCTACGGGCTGCAGCACAGAAGGGCCCCTGACATTGCACTAAAGGAGAGGCCGCATCCCTAAAGATGGCAACTTGCTTAGGCTTTGAGACGGGGTCCGACCCGACCCCACGCGCGCCGTGGGATTTTTGGGCTGCGGCCAGATGGATGCACGGAGGATGTCGCCTGGGAAAGGGTCCGACGGCCTTCTCTTCAGTCTGCCTTCCGATCCAGCGCATCCGTAACACTGCCGTTCACTGGGCCTTTTACCTCCGGGACCCAAGTGAAGAACAAGGCTTTTCAAGGGATCTGTTGCTTCACATCGCGGAGCGCATTGCCACCACAGACCTTGCTGAATGGCTTGTCCCGGAGAAGGCACCCAACCACCTCTGCAAATGGGCGCTCGAGGTACCCCTGCCAGTCGCCCTCTGGCAAGCCCTCTGGAAGGGTAATAAGGGTCCCTGCGCCTGTGCAGCCGACTTGGCACGCGTGTCAGGCTTCAGACAGTCTCTCGAGGCAGTGGACACTGACTGTACTGCAAGTGTCGGCACAGTTGAATGAAAGTTTTCAAACAAAAACAGGCACTGAGAGCCCTGCTGCACTTGCCTGCTATCCGTAGTTCTTCCATGCGTCTTGAAAGCATGCACAGACCAAGCCTGGTATGTGCCAAAAAGCATATGACATGGAGCGCAGAAGTGCACGGAGGGAGTGGGGGCCATCACCTGTGCCGGGCACACGGCACCCGCGCACCGCAGCTGCCGGCACAAGAGGCCGGAATCATAGCGGCATGAAGTCTCCCACTTTTCATTGCCTAGCACCTGGTTCTGCATGCGTCGAACCATGATTTTCCAGCGCTGAGGACGCTCACGGCACAATTCCAGCCATGTCTTCCATGCCTGCTCCAGGTCAAGGAACGTATTTCTCCCATCCAGAAAGCCCCACAACCACGCTACAGAGGAGCGTGCTGCTGAAAGCCAATCCTTCTGCCACTGCAACGTGCCCCACATAACCGGAACGTTGGTACGGACGCAACACAACATGTGTCGTAGGCGCGCAACATGGAGGACGCCCGCAAGGAGGGTAGACCAGGCAGCGAAAGCACACAGGAACCGCCCAGGTGAAGGGCTTCTTCGTAGGTACAGTAGGGTCGAAGCATAAAAAAGGCCATTCCATGATAAGCAGATTCTAGGACCGTTCCGAATGTCCAAACAGAGAAGCCCATGGCTGCGCTTTCTAGCCGCGCATCCCTCCCCTCCTGAAAAGCCTTGACAAAGTGTGTAATGCAAGGGTGACCGGAAAAGGCAGACACCCAATCTGCATCTCAGCTCTGATGCCCTGCAAAGCTGGCACAGACTTTTGCCGCAAGGCCCGATCCGATGGAAGGCCTTGCCAGCAGGCGAGCTCACCAGGCCAGCATGCCCCGATGCTCCCCAGCAGATTATGTGATACCTTGTCGTGGGCGACCAGACCGCGAGCAGTGTGGTAGTGGGGGATCACGATGGTCACTCCGAGTGGATCAACTGGCGGCGCTGGCATTTCCAACGGGAGCCCAGGCCGTGTCACTTGAAAGGGTCTCGACCATAGGAGAACTTCCTTAGCAAAGGCCGTGAGGTGCAGGCAAGCATACAGGAATGGCCCAAACACAGGTGGGTGCCCAAAAAGAAGTAGGACGCAGGCCAAGACCCTGGAATGCAATCGGTAGCATCCCCGAGCAGAGCCGGGCATGCTACGGGAATAAGTGTGACATTGCTGCCATGTTAGCACAGGTGTTCGGCAGCCTCCGCAGCGAGCGATTGGCTGTAGGACCTGACGAGGGGCAACTGGAACAAGTTGCAAAACAAAGCGTCCTACTGGTGACTGTCCAAAATGCAGGGCACCTGGTAGAACACGAATCAGGGAAGCGAGAACCGCCCATTTAGAACAAGCAGCAGCAGCGAAATCGACTGTTGCCCCAGCCAAGTGATGAGCATGTCGTTACTGGGTGGAAAAGCGTCTGTGTAGTGACTAGACTGAACCCGAACAGACGACACCCCTGCGCCACCGATGTGCCTGTTATACCCCGCGTGAAAGCAAGTCTCCCAGCAACACACAATTCTCTAGCTTGAGCGCAGGCCTCTGCAGTAGACGTGTGCCCCTGTTGTGAAAGCTGTACGGATCAAGCAAACAGGCATTGCTGTTGCAAAACGCTTCAAAGCAGATCAAGACAAGGGCAGGTGCAAGCCCCTGCAAGGAAGATGAGCATGAGCAACAAAGGCAGCCTGGCACGGTGCAGGGGGCGAGCGACCCTGAGCTCCCGATTCGCTTCTTTAGCGCTCCCCCACAATACCGAAGGTGTTGTGCCACGCCCAGGCTTCGTGGCGAGGCCAGCCAAAGCACCGCACGAGAACGGGGCGATGCCAAGCTAGCGGAGGACGATGCGGTCTTCATTGACTCTTCCTCCAGAAGCCCAAAGGAGGAGAGACAGTGAAGAACCGAAGCAACAGAGACAAAGATATGCCATGGAGAGCCGACAAGCGGACAACATCCAAAACATCCACATGGCAACTCCCGAGTCTGAGGCCTTCTTCAGACAGCCTTGTATATACAGAGAAACTTTTAAAGCCTCAGTGTGAAACCGCAGATCGCTCAGGACATTGATGTCAACAGCAGCACGTGAAGGGCATGACCCAACAAAACTCCCGTCATCAGGCACGGAATGCAGGAGCATAGGTCCAGCACCGTGGTGCCACACCAATTGCTGGATCCTGTGAGGCCAGGATCCTGTGAACTGCCGAGGCCGCCAAGGTTCTTGAGGAACTGCAGTTACTCCATGCCAAGGAAGCCCGGAGAATGGTTGGGCTCGTTATCGTCCTCTACACAGCCAACTCTCCCCAGAGCAGGCTCCCTGACTTCTGGCAAGCTGGTGGGAGCGGGATCCGGCGGTCGTTCCTCTTCTGTCGAAGCCGGCTTTGCACGAAAAGGCTGGAGAGCATGTCCTTGTTCCCGGGCCCTTATCTTTTCCGACTTCGCCTGGAGGTGTCCAGCCATTTCTGGTTTGGCTGTGGGAGTTTTCGTGGCTTCCTTGATGTTGTTTCGCGGTGGCTCTGCTGAGGAAGTAGGGAGCCTGGTTTGGCTCGGATCTCACTGCCCCGGGTTGCGCTTTCAGATGTCGGAGGATAGGGCCCGGAGGAAGGCGTCCTGCTCCAGCAAAGACAGCAGTGTATCCTTCTGCGGTCGTGCCGGCAGCATGTTGGGAAGGTCCTCTGACATCCTCGCGATCTCCAGGTGCACTGAAAGGGTCGCCAGGCAAGCCATCCAACTGCGGGGGTGCTGCAGCCTCCCGGAACGGACCCGCAGCAAGGCCCGGAGCTGCCATTGGTAGGCCACGTCTTTTCATAGCTCTGACCATCATGATTTTTTCGAAGCTGACATCCGACTCTCTCATCAAGCAGCCGCCTCGCCGTCTTCTTCCATCGGCGACTCTGTAGCAAAACCAACGGCCGCAGCAGCATGACCAAGCTGTTCCTGAGCCTGCCCGTACTGCTGACGAACTTGATCTGGGTCCTCCTCGATCTTGAGCATGGCTTTCTGGTGTCGCTCTTTCTCCGCTTCGTAAGACCGCCAGGTCTGTCTCGTATTTTTCCCACTGTGCCAGCTTCTGCTTCCGGTTCTTTGCTAAGCTGGCCACGTTCTCTATGCTGGAGTCTGAATCTCTATCACCTGCGCCGTCGGCTGCGAGGTTTACACCCTCCTCGCATCGTACCTCGGCAAGGCCTGTCCTTCCCTGCTGGCCTCACAGTCCTGTTTCCAGGTGTCCTGTTGTCGCCGCGACGGCAACCACGCACCATGCCGGTAGTCCCATGTCTTTGCGCCTCCAGATTGACCGTCCTGACGCCATCCTTTTCCCACCCTGCGGGAAGCTGCAGAGGTGCCGCGTGGTGCTTGAAGATTCTCGCGATATCTCTGGCGACTCGGGGCGCAGCCGGTCACTTTTCCAAGCGAGCTTCTGCCTCGACTTTGCCCGACGCCTTCGCAAAGTCCGGTGCCACGTGGGACTCTTTGGTGCAGCAGCGGCGGCACCACGAGTTATGGCTGGAGGGCGGCGAGTTCGTGCGTGCTTTGCACACTGGGGCTCTGAGATATCCTCCGCTCTTGGAGGTCTTCTCGAACTTCTCTCTCTCTCTCTCTCTCT